TGCTGTTATGTGAGAAATTATTTCTGATTTCATTTTTTCCAGATCCTCTTTTGTTGCCAGTTCAGGGAGTCCAGGTGGTTAAGTATCAGAGTGTTCCATCTCATTTCCCTTTGGGGCTGCTGTAGGAGACCTGGAAGTCTGGTTCTGAGGCTTGTGTATGTGTCTTCTCATTTCACTGGGGAGAGGGTTGCTCCTGGTGCCCACGTGGCTCACCTCTGCTGGGAGCGGTGGTAGGTTGGCCTGCAAGCCTCCTATTCTGCACTGGGAGCTGTACCACAAGCTATCTTAAGGGGCATTGAGTTGAGGCTGATTCATCAGTGTTTATCTCCCACTAAAAAGTACAGGAAGTTAGAAGAAACAAAACGTTGCTGTGATTCTGTTAAAACACAGCCCGTGTTAATATTGTCTTCTAGGATTTTATTGTTTTGCACAACAAGCATACTTCCTTAAGTGAAAAAGTAATATGAGGTAAAACATTTAATTAGCATATTACCACCAACACTTAATATCTGAATATTACTTTATTGTTCTGTTTTATTTTTTGGTACCAGGGATCAAACTTGGGACCTCGCGCTTGTGAGGCAGGTGGTGGAACCACTGAGCTAAATCCCTGGCGCTACTTTATTGTTTTTTAAGAGACTCATAATCTCTTTGTATTCTATAAGTGTTGATAATTTGCCACATATGTATGTTTTAACTGTGGTCTAAAGTAGTATTGACTTGTATTTTCCAAGTTGGTTTCCAAAAACCAACTTGAAGTTATTGTATTGATAAATTAGTATCAACTTGAAGGTGTGTATATAGTACTTGGAATATACTTCTTAGGAGATTTTATGAGAGAAAAGCATGTATGTATGAGATAGCAGTTTAAAACATTTACCTTTTTTTCATCAGTCTCCTTTACAATTCAAAGTAATTTTAATTATAAGAAATTACAACCATTTTCAAGTAACAGCATAATCTAGTGTATCCTAGAGTAGAGTTAAATATCTTCTTTAAATGTTAGCTATGTTTGAAGGATTTTTTTATGCTATTTTCCTAGATTTTTATATTTTCTCCTGTTTAGATGTGGTTTGTTTTGGTTTTTTTTTTTTTTGATGTTACAGAATTATTAAATCAGATACTATCCACTCATCTGAGAAGTCTCTGCAAATTCCCATGGAACAAAGAGATTCGGTAGTTACTAAATGTATTAAAATTAACTTTGACACTGACCAAAAGGCTGCCGATATAATCAGTGAACACAGAGTATCTGAATGTAAGGAGAAAATTTCAGAACCAAGAGCTGGATGCTATAAACCACCAGTTATTCCTGACAAGAAAGTATTCGAGGCAATAGTCAGCTGCATTGGTGATGATGGAACTGTATTTGTAGTTCCTAAGTTATCAGGTACAATTTTTGGCTTTTTATTTTGTTTGGTTTTGGTTTCAGTTTTTGCAGTACTGCGATTGAACCCAGGGCTTGCACACTAAACTGTATCCCCAGCCTTTTATAAAAAAATTTTGAGACTGGGTCTCACTAAGTTGTTAAGTTGTCCAGTCTGGGCTCGAACTTGCAATCCTTCTGCCTCGGCCTTTCATAGTGATGGAAATGCAGGCGTGCACCACCACACCTGCAACATTTTTATATTATGAAGGATTTCTCAATGACAGTGGACCTAGCAACTCAAGTTCTCTAGGAAGATAGACACAATTGGGAATACTTGGAAAGTAATTAACCACTTTGAACCTCATTTTCAAAGGGTTTTTAGAAAGATTGAATGATTTCACTTAATGCATGCAAAGTACTTCTTTTTTTCTTTTGGTTTTTGAAGTACTGGTGATTGAACCTGGGTTTTCCTTTTCTCTTTTTCTTCTTTCCTTTTCTCTTTCAGCCTCTTCCTCCTCCTCCTCCTTTTTCCTTCTCCTTCTTATCCTCCTTTTCCTTCATCTATCTTCTTTCTTTTTCTTTCATCTTCCTTCTTTTTTTAATTAAGTTTATTGGTACATTTTAGGTATACAATATGATGACATTCATCATTGGGAATTTGTACCTTTACATGATATATCTTGGTTCTTATTTTTTCCCCATCCCCCTGCCCTTCCTTCAACCTCTCCACCCCTCCCTATTTACAAAGACTTTGTGACTGTGGTATGATTCTTTTAATTCTTTGGGGAAGATACACAGCAGGGACTAGCTGGGTCAAATGGGACTTCCAGTCCTAGTTCTTTGAGGTATCTCCTTACTGATTTCCACAGTGCTTGCACCAGGCTACACTCCCACCAGCAGTGGAGCAGGGTTCCTCCTTCCCCACAGCCCCACCAGCATTTGTTATTGGTTGATTTCTTGATAGCAGCCATTCTTTCTGGAGTGAGGTGGAATCTCAGCATTGTTTTCATTTGCATCTTGAATGACCAGTGATGTTGAACATTTTTTCATGTATTTATTTGCTATTTCTGCTTCTTTGTCTGAGAAATGTCTGTTCATTTCAGATGCCCATTTTTGGATTGGGTCTTTAAATTTGGGAGGTCTGATTTTTTTTAAGTTCTTTATAGATTCTAGAGAGTAAACCTTTGTCTCAGGAATAGCTGGTAAAAATTTTTCCCACATTGTGGATTGTCTCTTCACTCTTGGTCGTTTCTCTTGCTGGGCAGAAGCTTTTTTTTTTTTTTTTGGTACTGGGGATCGAACTCGGGACCTTGCATTTGCAAGACAGGTGGCGGAACCACTGAGCTAAATCCCCAGCCCAGCAGAAGCTTTTTAATAAGATGAGATCCCAGTTGTTGACTCTCTGCTGGCTCCCATGCTACTGAGGGTTTTTTTCATGAAACCTTTTCCTACGCCAATGTCTTCAAGAGTTCTACCTAACCTCTCTTCCAGCCAGTTTAGTGTTTCTGTTTTAATATTTAGATCTTTGATCCATTTCGATTTTAGTTTAATGCATGGTGAAATTATCAAAGATTATTGAAAAATGGTAGTTTTCCCAGGTGATTTATATTTTTAATATTTTATTCAGAATTCAAGCTATTAAAAATGATGAATGAAATTCAAAGCAGTTTAAAATGTCTGGGTCTTTTGGAACCTTATTTCTGGAAGAAGGGCGAACCTTGTGCAGTGAGAGGACCTGATACTATGTGGTATCGAGGCAGAGTAATTGAAGTTGTAGGTGGCACTATCATGGTAAGTCTAAAATTCTTCTGTGACTCTTCAGTGTGAGTGCCAGAGCATTAAGGAGTTTTTAAACATCTGTACACATGAAAACTTGGTTAAAAATAGGGCTAGAAAAAACATAAGCATAGGGATGTACCTCAGTGATATAGCACTCATGGTTTAATCTCTAACTGGCAAAAAAAAAACAACAGTCAAAATAATCCATTAATCAGTTCAGTCATACAGAAGGATCAGTCAGATACATTTCAGATGTATTTTTTTCTAATAATTATCTTTCTTTTCAAATCTGAATAGAAATAGTTCCATGTAGGGACTTGTCCAGTGGTACCTTAAAAGATGGACTACTTAGTTGTGATACACTTAGTTTCTTAAAATGACTTCTTTTCAGATATGTTAAAGAGCTCCTTACAAACTTGTTTAGGGCCCATCTATGTTTTTCAGGGTAAGGACTAATTTACCTTTCCAGAATAGTAGGGTAGCACTCAAATTTCATTAAAAATCATTAAAAATAACTGCATGCATTGAAAAATGAATATATAAAAACATAAAAATGAAAATACCTTTATTTACATGTATTTACTAAGTAAAGCAACAAATTTAATGATGTATTTCATCAGGTATTTAGTATTTGAAAGTTTATTTTAATTGAAGTGAGAGAAAGAAGTCTGTTTTTCTACTTAGAAGTTTCTTTAGTGTTCAGTGATGGTACCGTGGCACTTTAGGATTTTTTAGCTTCTTTCACATATGTGCATTCATGCTTTAAAATTGATTTACAACTGCCCTAGACACAAATTATTATTCTCATTTTAATAAGGAAGTTGAAGTTTAGGTTCAGTGACCTGCCAACAGTCCCCTGTCAGGGGTAGTGATGTTGGAGTTCATATCCGAGCTTCTGTTTCCTAAACATCAAAGTCTTGTGCTTTTTATTCTGGATTACTAACTTGTCTCAGTAGAAGTAAAATAGTTTCAAATTTGACTGGAGATTTAAGCATCTAGGTATTTAAAGATTCATGCATTTACATGAAGGTGGGTCATTTTTCACATTCATTTGTAGTTTCAGATAATCCCTATCCTTCATTACAGAGGTGAACTAAAATTCAGTATGCATCAACTAGGATTTGGGAATAAATGTTCCCTTTTTCTGGAAATTTTTCAAATTAAAATTTAAGGGGCAGGGGATTTAGCTCAGTGGTTCTGCCACCTGCCTTGCAACCGCAAGGTCCAGAGTTCAATCCCCAGTACCAAAACCAAAACCAAAACCAAAAAAAAAAAATTGTATGCTGTATAGAATTGTCTTCTATCATTTTGCCGGGGGGTTAGCTCAGTGGTTCCACTACCTGACTCAAATTAAAATTTAATTCTGTTTCTAGGATCTTTTTTTTTGGTAATACTGGGGATTGAACCCAAGGCTTTCACATTGAGCTACATCCCCACCCTTTTAAAAAAGTTTTATTTTGAGACAAGGTCTTATAAGTTACCCAGGCTGGGCTCAGATTTTTTTTGTTTTGTATGGAGTTTTTTTTTTTGGTACCGGGCATTGAAGCCAGGACCTTACGCTTGCCAGGCAGGCATGGCACCACTGAGCTACATCCCCAGCTCACTCCTAGCTTTTAGTAATACATTTTAACTATAATTTTTTTTAATGGGAATCAAACTCAGGGCCTTGGACTTGCCAGCCAGACACTGTGCCGCTGAGCTACATCCCCAGCCCCGTAACTATAAATTTTATTTGGACCGTTTCAGGTACAATATTTAGATCATGGATTCACTGAAAAGATTCCACAATGTCACCTTTACCCTATTTTGCTGTATCCTGATATACCCCAGTTTTGTATTCCTTGTCAGCTCTATCATACTATACCAGTGAGTATATAATAATAACTTGTGGGATGATTAATTTGAAATATTGTTTTAGTTAATTTTTTAGTAAATTAGAATATAAAATTATATCTCTCAGTTGCAACAAAAATAATACTGCCTACAAACAAATTTAATAAGACAGTTAAAGGGCCTTTTTAAAAAATTAATGGTCTCTTGTTGCATAACAAAACTAAAACTTAGTGGCAAAACAAACTTATCCCATACTGTTTCTGTGGCTCTAGAATTGGGCAGCTTAGCTGGGTGGTTTGGACTCAAGATCCTTGTGATACTGCACTCAAGATGTCCACTGTACTGTACCTATCCAAAGGAACTGCTAGGAACAGAAGAGCCACTTGCAGATGGCTCCTCGTGTGGCTGTTGGCAGCAGCCTCACTGCCTTGCCATGTGGCTCTCTTAACACATCAAAGCATGGCAGCCCCCACTCCCTGATGAGGATGTGCTGCAGGCCCTGGGGAAAAACTATGTTGACGTGTTGGACTTTTTAAAAAGTTTTAAATGTAACATTTTGTTTTAAATGTAAATATATGTTTTAAAGCATAAAATACTTTGAGTATTATAGAGAGAAGCTTGGTCAAATTATTAATTTTTAAAGATCATTGTAATCACATACCCATGATATCCCCTGTATAGTCTTACTTTGTGCAAATGTGAAAGATTCTGAGTGTATCAATCCCACACAGGTTGGGAATGTGTGGCAGCCAGATGCAATCAAGCTTCTTCAGGAGCTGCTGTCAAAGAGAGAGGTGGACATTCACATTATGGTAATTTGTCTTCAAACTATATATAGTTGATTTAAGTTGTTTGCCATAAAACATAATTAACATAATTTGAGGGATATTTTTATGATAAATAGTGTTACATGTGTTCTTATGTGCATAGGAATTACTCATTAACATTCAAGAAGTCACCACTTTGGTTCCTAGGGTTGTTTTAAATAAGCCTAATTTTGAACATGTTCTGAGAACTTTCATAACCATAAAAGTCAGAAGATTAGAAGATTCCTTACTAACAGCTTACTTATTTGGATACAGGGAGCAATATCACATTGATGGAGATGATTATGAATATGTATGCAGAAATTTTCAGGGTACTGCTGTGTAGGTAGCACTGTTTAAGTGACGGTGATTCTGACAGCTTATCACAATCCCCATCCTCAAAGACCTCCTCTCATTAGCGCAACAAGATAGACCTAAAAAATTCACGCTGCAGAGCAACATGTTGAGAGCCAAGTGACAGTAAAAAGCTAAGTACAATAGGGATTTGGAAATTGTGAGAAGTTTCAAGGTACAATTGAAGAAAATATGGTGAGAGTTCTCTTGACAGAAGAATGGAATGCACAAAGGCCGACCACAGCTTTAGAAAACAGCTGAACCACTTAGAACAGTAGAGTGCTTGTGAGAAGGAGAAGTGCTGACTGGGATTCAGGGGAGGGAGAGGCCGGTTGGAGGCTTCTGATAAGTGAGGTTGTAGCATGAGTAAGGTTAAATTTTGTGCAAAGAAGCATACGGTGAGGGTCTAATACCCATATTCTGTAGTATTTCTATTATTTAATTTTATGAATTTTGTGTTTAGTAAACTCTTACAGTCTGACAACATGTTCATCAGCATTGGTTTCCAAGAATGTTACACATTTTCATCTCTAAATTGTAATGAGCTTTTAGAGGGAAGGTCATAGTACAACAGAGACTGCCAATTGAAAGGCTAACTTTATTTATTTTATTTATTTTAATATATTGTGATTAAGGCTGGAAACATTAAAATCTTGTTAAAATCATTAGCAGACAAGAATAACTTTAGTAGTGGTCCATATTATATCTGCTGGAAAAATTTTGCAAAAAGATTTGTAATTCTACTTCTCAAAAACTGCAAACAGATTTTACAGAATAAGATAAGAAAGAAAATTTCCTAGATAAGGCAGAGACTTGATGGAAAATTTTTCTAGCTGGAGTCAAGATACTGAACCAATTGAACTATACAGGGTAGAGATCTTGAATGTTACAATTGGGATGTATAGTCAATATCAGTTGATAAATTTGAGCTAATAAATTCCTAAACTACAGGGCCTCCTGAATCTAAGTACAGAGAAAGCAGCAGTGGGCTGGGAGTGAAGCTCAGTGGCAGAGCATTTGTCTATCATGCACAAAGCCCAGGGTTTGGTCACACACACACACGCACACACACAGAAGGAGGGAGGGAGGGAGGAAGAAAAGGAGAGAGATATCATTTCAAAATCAGAGCATTGAATGAAACTGCAATTTATATTATATGATGCAGCCCAAGATCCCTTCCCACACTATTTTGTTATTTATTGTTACGTAACAATCTCCCCCAAAATTAATGGCTTTAAGGAGAAAAAGCAAGCAGAGAAATCACAACAAGATCTCAAGGTTTGTCCGAGTCCTAGATTGATTTGTCAGATTTCTTTCTAGAGTGTTTCCACTCCGTAAAGGTGTTCTCTCCTGGGTCCAGCATTGGAATGTAATTTCATTAATCACTACCAAGTGCTGACTACAGGGAACCACATCATCTGAGATCAGACCTTCACATTTACAATCTAGATGCCTGAAAAATGAAGGCTCAAATGAAGTATTCATCCTCTAAAACTTCTCCAGCAAAGTTGAACAGGAAAGGTGACAAAGCCCTGATAAAATCTTGCAAACAAAGAAAATTCCAAAAGAAGGCTGAAGAAATTTTCCATGAGGGCCCGGGGCGCGGGGCAGAGAGGAGCAGAAGTGGTTGACTCCACGCGCTCGCCAGCGGGTGGCGAAAAGCCCGAAGTCCAGGCGACCGTGGTGGGGGCACGGGCGCCAGGCGTGCCTCTCGTCCGTCAGCCCTGGCCACCGGGCCCGGGGCCTCTTCCTGGCGCGCTGTCATCGCTGGTCCACTCCAGGCTCCGCCGCGGTGCCCTTTCGTCCCTGTCAGCGCCGGCGGGGCCGGCATGGCCCGAGAGGGCGCCCCCAGAGAGCCCCGGGCAGCGGCAAGCAACTTAAGAAGGTTAAAGCAGAGAGTCAGGTGCATACCTGTAATCCCAGCATTCAGGAAGCTTCTGCAAGGTGATCTCCAGTTTGAGGCCCATCCTGTGCTACCTGATCAAAGACTAAATGAAGTTCTTAGCCAGGAAATGGGAGATTTTTCCAAATATTCATCTGTTCAGAAACAGATGGGTGAGATGAAACTACAACTTAAAAATGTCATCAAAGAAAATGAAAGGTTATGCAATGAATTAAAAGATGCTGTTCTTGCTGCTGCCGGCTTCGAAAGCGCAAGGTCCTGAGTTCAATCCCAGGTACCAAAAAAACAGATGCTGTTAAAAAGCAATTGGAGTCCCTTCCCTTTAGCTTGGAGATAGGAAATGATACTTTTCCCAACGATGAAACACAAGCCTTCAAGAGCAACTCCAGCTAGCCAATCAAGAAAAGACTCAGGCTGTGGAACTCTTGACAGAATATTTCTCAGGAAATGAACAGACTACAGAAACCTTACCAGGAGCATAACAACTGATGCCCAGATTCATGTATTTGAAAGCCAAAAACAAAAGGATCAGTTGATCAGCTTTCAGCAAGCAACTTCATATTACTGAGAACATACAAATGACTAATCAACACTTGCTGAAAACAGTAACTGAGCAAAATGTGGAAATCGAGCAACTTCAAAAACAATTTAGGCAAGCCAAGTTAGATCTGAGAGTTGCAGTAGCAAAAGTAGAAGAGTTAACACAAATGGCTGAAGGTCTTCAGGAACAAATGCAGGAGGAGGAGGATATGATGTCTGCCCAAAGAAGAGAGGATGCATCAGATAGGCAATTACAGCAGTTACAATCTAATATAAAACAATTAGAAACAAAATTATGTGTGACAATCCAAGAAGCTAACCAGTAAACAGCAGAAAAAAAACATATTCAGGGCTAGGGATTTAGCTCAGTGGTTCTGCCTCCTGCCTCGCAAGTGCAAGGTCCCAAGTTCAATCCCTGGTACCAAAAAAAAAAAAAAATCACGTCTGGAAAAACTAACCATAGCCCTAAAAGCAAAGTGCAGTGAATTAGAAAATGAGAAATATGAGGCTATTTTAAGAGCCAGAGATAGCATGCAACTCAAAAATACTAGGTTCTGCTTGAGAAGAAGCAAAGAGAAGAAAATAAAGAGAAAATGAAAGAAGTATTTTCTCAGCTCATACAAGATTCTACCATTAGAACCAGGAAAGAAATTGAAAACACCAAAAAGCAACATCAAGTACAGATTTCTCAATTAACAGAAGAACTTACAGGTCTTCAAATGGAATGTGATGAAAAACAAAGCCAAATTGAACAATGCATTAGGGAAAAAAAAGCTGTGGAAGAAAAACTGTAAAAGACTTACCATGAGGGTAGAGGGAATGAAAGTAATTACAGAAAACTGGAAAAAAAATGCACCAAAGATGTCTCATTGATGAGCATTCAAAAGATGATGTTGAGCTAAAATTTTTTTTTTCTTTTTTTTTGGTACCGGGGATCGAACTCAGGTCCCTGCGCTTGCGTAGCAGGCAGCAAAACCACTGAGCTAAATCCCCGGCCCTTGAGCTAAAATTTAAGAGAGCAGAACATAGAATAAAACAACTTAAAATTAGTTCCTCAGAAAAGATACCACGTTCCCATGAAATGATTCAGAAACTTCAAAATAGGTTGGAGTTGGAAAGAAAGAACTGCCTTTGTCAGTGAACAAAGGCTTAAACTTCAGCAAGAAAATGAAGAGTTACACAAGGAAACTGAGCATTTAAGAAAGATTGCTCTAGAGGCTCAAAGAAAAGCCAAATTAAAGATCAGTACAATGGAGCACGAATTTTCAATAAATGAACATAGGTTTGAAGTTCAGTTAAGAGAGAGAGAAGACAGTAATCGAAGTTCCACTATTGAATTGAGGCATCTGTTAGCAACTCAACAGAAAGCAGCCGATAGGTGGAAAGAAGAACCAAGCTCACTGAAAGTGCAGAAATTAGAATCAGCAACCTAAAGAATGAGCTGAGTCGACAGAAACTTCATACCCAGGAGCTGCTTTCTCAGCTAGAAATAGCAAATGAAAAGGCAGCCGAGAATGAAAAGTTAATTCTACAGCATCAAGAAAAAGCCAACAGACTTCAAAGGCATCTTAGGCAGGCAGAAGAGAATGCTGCTTCAGCTTCCCAGCAGCTCAGTGTGATTACAGCACAGAGAAGAAAAGCAGCCTCCATGATGAATCTGGAAAATATTTTTCAGTATTCGTAGTTCCCTCACAGAACTGTAGAGTTGAGTAAGCTGGTGGAGGAGAAGTATACTGGTGTGGTGATGCCTGCCGGGAATGGTTATGGCTTGTGTCACTTTGCATAAGCATTTTCCATTCTGTTCTGAGCTTTATTGGATAGCAGAACAGTGACAGCTTCCTGTAAGTAAAGAAAATATAATCCTACATTTGAACTTCAGTGAAAAATAAAACCAGCTGAGAAGAAAAAGGACAAAAAAAATTTGCCATGAGTACTATATGAAGCTACACTCTGGGCTTACCCTAAAAAAGAAAGCCTGCTACTCTAGGAAAGAAATCACCAGGGTTCACTAAAAACAGGTGGAACACAAAGAACAATGCCAGGTACTTGCCTATGAACAGCGTACTCTGAAAAACTCTGTCTTTAAAGTACTTGAGACCCAAGGACCTACTACAGCAGCAAATATACCATGTATTAGAGAATCTTGTGCTTCCCTAAGTACATACAACAGTCAATCCATTAGTTTTATTTTGGAGAATGGAAGTTATGT